TCTATGTTTGTAATACTAGTAAACACTGCAGGAACTGTGAGACGACAACAGCCTTAAAGAGGACACACATAAAACCAACAACACTGCTTTGTCCTACCCTTAGGTCCCATGGGTCCCCTGGATCCTTCTCCTCCATTCTGGCCGGGCATACCGGGCTCTCCAGGGGGGCCGGGACGTCCAGCGCTGCCGTCCTTACCAGGAGGGCCTGGAGGTCCGGGGCGGCCTGCTGTGCTCTTCACGTGGGCCGGCTGGATCTGAGCCATGAGGTAAGCTAGTTTGGCTGAACACAAAAGAAAAGTTCGTCATGTTTCATATAACTCTGCTGAGGTTATTTGAAATGAGCTCAAACATCTTAATGGGCTCCAGAGGAAAAGTGGCCTCCTCACCATCTAATTGTTTTGCCAGCTCCTCCTGGATGAGCCGTCTCATCTGCTCCAGTGACACTGACTCTCCCTGAAGTGGCAGAGATGTTAATGAACAACTCAATTATTAATATCTGCATCTGAATCACTTGCAGAGCTTGTGGCTGTGGTACCAACACTGCACTAAAATCGGATTCTCTGTTTCACAGGTATGACTCACTCTGGGGCCTGGGGCTCCGGGGTTTCCTGAAGGTCCTTGTGGCCCTGGGGCTCCTATTTCTCCTGGCGGTCCCGACATGCCCATCATCCCCGTGTGGCCTTTTCTACCTGGGGGGCCGGGGTTTCCGGGCATACCTGGATCTCCTGAGTGTCCTTTATCTCCCTTTGTACCCGGGTCTCCCTAAATTAGACGACAACATCTTTGTGAATGCTTCAGCTTGAAGCACCTTCAGAATAACTGATGACTTGCAGCAGGACAGCGAAGGACGTAGAGCAAGTTGAAGTGAAATGCTACCATCTGTATCTGCTTCAACATATGTTTGCACCATAAGTATATCTGTATAATTAGGAGGTTATGTTAAAGCAGGCGTTTATCTGTTTGTTTGTTTGTTTGTTTGTTTGTTAGCAAGATAACTCGAAAAGTTAAAACAAATTTTCATGAAATTTTCAGGAAATGTTGATAGTGGCCCAATGAACAGATGATTAAATCCACTCTTGTTTTTTTAAATTTCATTTTGTTGTTTACTTTATTTAGGGTTGTTTATTTCATTTTTATTTGGTGGTTTATTTTAATTTGGTGTTGTTTATTTTATTTCATTTTTGTTCGTTTAATTTTATTTGGTTGTTTATTTTATTTTAGGGGTGTTCATTTAATTTTAGAAGATACCCGGTTAGGCCGCCCGGGATCTTTCTGTGTGGAGTCCATGTTCTCCCCGTGCAGCGTGGGTTCTCTCCGGGTTCTCCGGCTTCCTCCCACAAGGTCCAAAAACATGCTGAGGTTTAATTGGTGATTCTAAATTATATTAATTGTTTCTCTGTCTCTGAGTGCAGCCCCTGTGATACATCCGTTCAATGGAATTTTCTTAAAGGTTTATCCATTTTTTAAAATTTCTGAAACAGTTTTGTATTTTTCTTTGACATTCTGTTTTGTACATTGTGATCTACAGCTTCGTTCAGCCATAACTTCTACAGTAAATAAAGCTTTAGTTGCAGGTGGTGTTAGAGGCTTTCTGTGCTTTGTCAGTTTGCCCAGCTGGCTAGCTAGATAGCACACAAGATACCTTCTGGAGGCATTATGTGTAAAATACTTCATTTGTATGCCGTGTGGTTTGTGGTGCACAGTCAAGTCATGTTTGGCTGGCAACTACATGCAACAACTCATGGGGCAGAACTAATCTTTTGTTTGCAAAAATCAAACAGTATGGACATAGTATGTTGTCTTTGTGTATTTCTTTGCATTCCTTTACTAGATAATACTTATATTTGCTCAGCTTTGTTGAACATTGTTCTGAACTGAGTCTAAACATCAAGAGCAATTAGGAACAGAAGACGGATTTCTTACATATGAATGTAAACCTTAAGCGTAAATCTGATTGTGATGCTGCCAACGTATTTATTTACATCCCTGGTTCTCACCTTATCTCCTTTGGTTCCACGATCACCAAGTCTTCCTGGCATTCCCTACAAAACACCGCAGACAAGTGGATGTAAGTAGGAGATATCCCTACAGCACACAGTATGGTGGTAAACAATTATAACATGAGTCATCGGTGTCCTTTGGAGGTTCCTACCTGCTTTCCTTCTGGGCCAATCGGACCAGGAGGACCCTGGAATTCACAGCAAATTAAGCATTAGCGGCTGCACATGTTTGTGAGCTGCGATTAATCTTTGAATCAAAAAGAAAAAAAAAAAAATGGAGCACTCACCGCCGGGCCTTTAGGCCCACTAAAGCCTGGTAATCCTGGGTTGCCAGCCTCTCCCTTGTCTCCTCTAAGACCCTGTGTGACAGCAGCGACATAACCATCCATCACACACGTGGCACACTGTACATGTATTCTGAAAGCCTTGCTCATTACTGAGGATCCCACAAGATTAATATGTAGCTGCAAAAATCTCATAAACCAATCTTGTGGTGGGGCATGCCAGCTTGAAGAGATTAAAAATCATATTTACAAGAGACATGTGGGCCTGAAGACAAGCTGGTTGCAGCAGCCACACGGTGCAGTAACGTATTCATGCATGCAGACGTTTCTTTTGTTCATCTCCACTATTCAAAAAGTTCTTTGTTGAAGCTGATCTTCTTCTCCATCTCCTCGGCTCGACCGCCTGCACTACGCCCTCTTTTTCTCTGTGTGGCGAATTTGAACATCTGATAACATTTTTGTCAGTATCTGATTCTACCTCTAAATACCTCCACCGTCCACTGAAATCACTCTCTATCTCCTCTCCTAACCTGTGTGCATTGTGATTCGTGGCCTCCTCCCTCCCCCGGGCTCCTCCTGATGATCTGCTCCCTCTGCTGACTGATATCATCGACTGCTCCCTGATAGCTGGCTGCATATCATCTGCCCTCCAGTTAGCAACAGTTGCTCCTCCTCCCAAGAAACCAATCTTCAGCCCACAGACGAGTCCACAGCTCCTTCTATTTATTACCACAACACATTAACATTCTGCCGCACCAACGCAAAATCTCACTATGTTTATGCAGCGTTTTTTTTTTTTCAACATTGTGTTCATTGCAACTTCTGTTGTTGCACAGATAGTGTGTTGATTGTGTTGCCAATGGCACAGATTCTTATACATGTGCAGTCTCATTGGACGACCTTGTTCATTGTCTGTATGCAGAACTACATCAACTGGTATAAAATCAGCGTAGACAGTAAAAAAAAAATAAGAAGAAGAAAAGAAAAAGAAACAAACATTTTTAACTGCAATTTTTTTTTTGTTTTTTTACAGTTTACTGTTATTTTTCACATTTTCCTGCTTTGTTGAATTACAGATAAGAAGGAGTAAAATCACTTTCTACATATAGATTTGCTTGTTAACTACAAGAAAAATTTTTTTAATTGAGGCCCAAATACATAATGTGTTTTTTTTCCAGAAGTACCTTCCTAAGCTGACTTTAAACCTGTTCAGGACACGTTTCCCACTATATACTACATCCTGATGCGTTTTCAGGACATTCTGAAACGTGACCATTTTTGT